CACTTGCGGAGTTTCCTCTACGTATAGTAAATCTTAGTAGTGGTTCGAAAGCTATCCTGAACTCACATATTGAAACAAATTTCTAAAGACTTTTCCATAGAAATAATTATTGGGTCGTTCATTAAGTAATTTCATTTTTTAGGCAATTAAAAATGTTTTTTTATTTTGTAATATTTCTTTTTAAATTATATATTTTATATAGTCTGAAAATTACTAGAGCACATCATTACATTTTCTAGTCCATTTTACAATTAGAAAAATTATTTACCCAGCAAATTTAGCGCCTTTCCCTACAAGAGACTTTGCAGTTCCAACAGTGTTAAGTTGCAACGCCATTTTTTGTGGCTTCTTTGCGCAAGGAGTGCACAATACTCAATCACGCAAATGCAATTACACTTGCAACAACAATAAAAGCATAACGTTTTTTGCACTCTCAGCATATTAGCATGTTGCGCTCATACACATCAAAACGCACATCCTTCCTTTGAGCAAACTTAATTTGAAACGATATTTTTTCTGTTTTATACCGAACATTGCGTCGTTAAGGCAGGAATCTCACTTGCATGTCAACATATTTTTTGCTCCACCATAAAACACCTTTTGTCATACAATGCTCATATTTAATAAAATACCCTCCCAGCGATGCTTTGCCTTCTAGTTACTAATTTTTCCACCCTTACGTGTCCAGATTGTTGGCAATGGCCGCTATTGCCAGTTGCTACAAAGATTTACCGTTCACATTCGTGACTTTCGTGGCAGCAACACAAAAGCTTGGTGGGTAATTAAATTGATTACGCCTCTTTGAGTGCGAGTTTAATGCACTTTGCATCCGCATTTGCTACCCATCAGTTGGTGCAGCGGACAGCAGCCGGTCGACGGTAGCGTGATGGGTCCGCTACACAACCGTTACTTACCGCCTATGGTGTTAAGTGCTTGCTGGTTAGAACGTCAATACTTTTTTGCATGCGCTCTCTTCCTTTCTGTTGAGCTTTGTGCTTTGTTTTAGCGACTATCGTCCCTTATTTCTCATACAACTCAATAGGAAATTGAATTTAATGCTCAAATGCAAACGCATACAAGATTGTGGAATATAATGAAAATGTGGTAAATATGGAGGAAATCTATTTATTATTTACAATTGCATGCGGAGAAGTGAAGTGTTTTTCACTGACTGAGAGTTGTGTGGATAATGAATTTAAATTGGTGCGGAAGAATATATGCTACGAAATTTTGCAAGCATTATGAAGCGCTTTAAGCTAGTTTATCGGCTATCAACTGAGCATCTGCAGTGCACGAAGTCAAAAGGGAATGATAAGCGTTAAGATGAGTAAGTTTTCACACAGAATTATTTCTCTTCATATTTCTTTTAAATAAAAATAATTAATTCATCAACAGTATAATTATTGATTGAAAAATTTGCGTTGCATTTCTGCGCTAAGTTAATAAGCACGATGCTCTCAGAGGCTGAAAATTTCATTATTTTTAAACGAGTTAAAACAACACGGTGTTGTAGTCATTACAACAAACAAAACAACCTCAAAAAATCTTTTTTATAGCTGGATACTTTGCATAACCTATCAATGATTGCTCATACCAACAAAAATATGGTTCTATCTTTCAAAATTAAGTAGCAAATGAAATCTGGAGATGGAGACTAACAGGTCTGATTTTTACCGTAAAATCTTCTTTAACTTCCTGTTATTTTTCAAAGTGAAGGCTACAGGCAAATAATTAGAGACAGTTTGGTACCGTTATAAATATAAAAACAAATATAACGAGGTATCAGTCAGTCGCCCATATGGGTCAAATGACTTGAAACGATTAACTTACTTTGAAGATACATCACTCCGGTTAATAGTGAGCTAGCGCCTAGCTACATGCCCAAAATTCTGTGAAAAATTTCAGGATTTTTGCTCCATTTTATTAGAAATAAAAGCTCCAAACCAACAAAAAAAAAATTGTTTTGATGTGGGTTTCGAACTTCAGTACTTCTTTAGTAATTTTCAATACCATCAAGGAACCATCGTAGACCCTTCACGTGGTATATATAAATGATTAGTGTGACGAGCTGAATCGACTTATCTATCTTTATGCGTCTGTTTATACATACGCGAACTACTTCCTCATTTCTTCTTATTTTTTCTGAAATTATTTACTTTGGCGGAAAGAAAATAACGGTTCTCGAAGTAAGATTTACTGCCAAAATTACTAAAAAGTTGATTTCACAATTTTAATTAATTTCCACAATAAACTCTCACTTCAAGACAGTTCTTTCCTCAACTTTTCCCACATAAAGTTTTAAGCACCAATATTGAACGCAAAAAAATGCAAAAATCTGCTGTGAAACGCGCCAACAACTAAGGAGGATTTCCAATAATTCCACACAAATTAAAAGTTTTAGTCAAAAAACCGAAATTGAAAATGGAAATACATCTACTACTACACCAATATTTACTTAAGCAGCGAAAACACCTTAGCGATTGCTCAAAACTACAACTCACGGATGCAATCTCAAAAGTATGTATGTTTGTGCACGTGCCGTTAAATGCTCCCCAGGTGATAGTTACTAGTTTACTAGTTAGACCAATAAGTATCTATCATATGCATTTGCTATCAACAGTGTCTGGGCGAAAAGCGCAATTCTCCTATTTTGACTTATTCTTTGCCGATTGCTTGCACGCTGAAATTTCGCTGAGAGTAGGAGCGTAAGGGAGTAAACGAGAAATGGGTGGTAAGTGCTGCTTGTAACCGCTGAGGCATAGCGTTTGGGAATGTAGCGCAGTAACTTTTATAAATTTATAATACCAATACATTTATATGTATGTATGTGTATGAGTGTGTGTGTGTAGTTRAATGCTTCTATTTCAGGTTTTCGCTTGATCATCAACTTCGGCTTTAAGTAATCCCCAAAATACTTGCATATACTGTTGGTTTGCTGGAAATATTACGTGTGCAGCGGCTGCAACGCTTGTGAAACTTTTGAAACATTTACTGTTTTATTGCGGGCTTATGTATATATGTATAAATGTGTGTGTTTTTGTTATTTTAGTTTCTGTTTTTCGTTTTGCGTTGCGTCGTTAAGTGTTAGACATTGCAGTACCCTTACTCACTTCAACATACCACTGTTGTACACTTGCGTTCCAGTTTAAATATATTAACAAGTCTGTAGTATTGCATTTGGAATTATAATTTAACTTTTTTACTATCCTTCAAAAAGTTGCAAGTTGTTTTTCGTGATAAAGTTGCTGACTTGATTTCCCTGAGTGATTTTCTTTCCTTGGAAATTTTCATTAAGTCTTATGTTTGTAGGTATCTTGACTTTTGCTTATTTGAAAAATCTTTTTTCCAAATATTTTTAAATATACCTATCACCCTTTGAAAAAAATATTCCGCTAGGTGGCGCACCTAAAGCCGTTTGGAAACATTTAAATAAGACTAAATACAAGAGGAAACTCAACGTATGGATACCGTACGAGTTAATGGCAAAAAATCTGAAGGACCCTATTTTCAACTACCAATGCGGAAGGTTACTTGTGATGAAAAGTGGGCCCTTTGCGGCAATGTAATCTACTTTCCTTCTGTCAGCCTGGAAATCTAACGCAGGATAACTCTTGCCAACAGGTACTACTTCGGACTGAGTAGGCAATTGAGAAGTAAAGTCCTCTCTCGACGAACAAAAACTAAACTCTATAAGTCACTCATAATTCCCGTCATGCTATATGGTGCAGAGGCTTGGACGATGACGACAACTGATGAGTCGACGTTGCGAGTTTTCTAGAGAAAAGTTTTGCTAAAGATTTATGGTCCTTTGCGCGTTGGCCACGAAGAATATCGCTTTCGATGGAATGATGAGCTGTATGAGATATATGAAGACAGTGACATAGTTCAGCGAATTAAAAGACAGCGGCTCAAGTTGTCCGAATGGACGAAAACACTCCAGCTCCGAATGTATTCGACACAGTACCCGCCGGGGGATGCAGAGGAAGAAGAACGCCTCCACTCCGTTGGAAGAACCAGATAAAGAAGGACCTGGCTTCACTTGGAATATTTAATTGGCGCCACGTAGCGAAAAGAAGAAGCGACTGGCGCGCTGTTGTTAACTCGACTATAATCGCGTAAGTGGTGTCTACGCAAATAAAGAAAAAGAAGAAGAATCTACTTCCCCACAATCAATCTCCTAAGTCGTACCGGACCGGAATATAATTGTATTGCATTAGAACTAACCCAAATACAAAAATATAGTGATTCGCCAGTAGTTATTCAAGGTTGATCGAGAGGTTTATAGGCCTGAATCTCGCACAAAGTGAATTCCACATGTTCCCTAGCATGTTAGGCCATTATTAGGACCATTTTGCTCCTGAGTGTTAACCAAAGCTTTATTCAGCAACTCCGTTGAATTGGTACAAGACTTTCTTTTCAACTCCAGATGCCTAATAACGCTTACGTTGGAGTATTGGTTTATGGACTTGCTTGTTAGAGCGGAAGACCATTTGGAGTCTTCAGTTATGCCCACAATTTCGCCCTGAAAGACAATGATGATGCCATACCGTTAGTATGGGGTAGGTGACACTTGTGTGGAGCCAATAAACCATGCGGGGTCGTAAACCCCACCTTGGTGCAATAGCAGCTCCAGATTTAAAAAACTATGAAAACTCTGTTTTCAAGGTGTTCTCTCTAACTTAATTTCGTGAGAGCGCAGCAGTTCTACTTCTTAAAGAGGGGCGTTGACCAAGTTTTAATGAGAAGGAATATAAGTATGAATGGATGCGAGAGTAAGCATGGACGAGTTGGAATGTATAGCAAACGAATATGAATGTCAATGAGTATGAGTATAAAAACAATAAGTATGAACGAGTATGAGTACGGACGTGAGTGAATATAAGGTTGAAAGAAAATGATCCTTGATACATACTTATCATAAATGAAACCGTTTTGAAATCAATCAATTATACACAACACATATTTATAATAAATAAAAATAATCTTTAGCTTTCACTCACCAATATTAACGATGCCATGATTAGTTAATTCCCAACATGATTGCAGGCGTAGTATGCTCAGACTATGACTTTGTTTCGGCGAGAAATAGCCCAAAGCTGCGTCGGTGACATGATAAGCCTGTTTAATTGCAAAAAACATATGAAGAAAGAAATTAAGAAACTTAGAATTAATAAAGCTGGAACACTAAATAGACTTGTTTAAAATTTTATAGGTATCTATTATTATATTCGCCAGTATTCAATAAAAATGAAACTCACCTGCAGTGAAAATTCATAGAGCGATGGTAATAGCTGTGCGACTGCACCCACCGCTTCGTCGGCGATATTAATACAATCCGCGAGTGAGAGTGAGACAATACGCGGGGTGAGACACGCCCACAGACCAGCCTCGGTGACTTCATTGCAACCAGCGAGTTCGAGTTCGAAAAGACTCTGTAAGTATATTTATGAAATGAATTATATGAAAATATTTTCTTTTTGTACATTGCAACATGTTTCTATATAGTATAAAAGTTTGTTCACTTAACGATTGTATGTAACACCTAAAACTAATCGAGATAAATATAGGTTAACTATATACAAATCATCAGGATGACGAATTGAAATGCGGATGCTGTTCGTCCGTCCATTGGTCTGTCTGTGTAAGCTGTAACTTGAATAAAAATTAGTGCAAAAATGAAACATGCTACAAGTTCGTAGATGGACGCGATCAGATGACTGACACGCCCACAAAACGCTGTTAACGAAAAACCTACAAAATGCCATAATTAAGCACTTAACTGTAATTTGGTGTGAATAAAAAATGTAATCGGCCAGAACTCCGTTCATTCCCCATATAACGGTACTGTTGAAAAGTACTAAAAGTGCGATGTATCAACAACTAGTACCACAAAGGCTTAACATTTTACACCAGAGAAAATATAATAGGGCTTTATAGGAGCCGTATTATAAACTGGACGATGGGAGTGTCACCGCCCAATTATAGGCGAAATCACATAATTCGCGACCCGCCCAACCAATTTCAACCAAATTTGGTACGTGTCATTCTTAAATTTCACTACAAAGATTGGCAAAATCGGGATACAACCACGCCTACTTCCCAAATAACAAAATTTCTAATTCTATTTAATTCTTTCATTTTCCAGTATACACATCAAGAATTTATAATAAACATTTTGGGCCTTTAATGTTTTCGAAGGCACCTTATGGTCAAAAATTGTCCAAATCGAACCAAAACTGTGCACGCCGCCAAGGACCCCAGTATCTAGAGTTGACTTTTAACCGAAAATATTGATCAATAATAGAATTTTGGTCTGTCAACAATTGGTTGAATCCAGTCAATACTTCCCGAAGCTCCCATATACCTAATATAAATATTTTACAACTTTCAGGTCACTTTATACCGCATATATTGGAGAATATGTGAGCTATCTCAAGGAAAATAAGTTTTACTCATTACAGTGTAGCCTTCATGTAACTAACCTCATGATTTTCGAACATCCGACTAACATTACTACACATGATTGGCGAGGGTATGTGAGATATCTTAATGAATCCCCTGATACATATCACATATTAGTTTTATATGTGGCAAATAAATAAACTCACGTCGATAGTACCCCAACACCCACATACTTCATATAATGATTTTCCTTTTTCTAATAAATTTTATGAAGAATAACTCTGAGTTGTAAATTAAATGTAATTCAGCGCTGAATTAGAGTGGAATTATTCTGTATCTTGGTCAACTGGTTGATTATATATTAATATTAAATACTGATTTCATACAACATTTTAAGTTTCTCTGTGAAGCGAACGTTCTAAAATGAATCACTAAATGCAAGAGTTCTGCATTAGCCTAAGTATTTATCCCAACATTGCAGTCGTTTTTTCCATATATCAAACTTATATTATGTAAGCGTATATTTTTAAATAACGGCGAAGTAAGTATATATTATTTTATGTGTATAAAATATGTATAATTAATGCTAGCGAAATGCATATCATAATTGCCTCGATAGTCGGCAATCACTCATCGTAAGAACCATTAAAACTAATGGTGCACTTCGGTTACTATGGACAATGGCTAAGGCTAAGGCTAATGAAACAACATTTACTGAAAAAATGTTAAAGTTAGGTTGGTGATTAAAACTGAATTCTTGCCTGACACTTTTATGGTAAAAAAGTATTTTAATGGCAGCAGTGGCAAAAAAGGGAAGCTTAAAAGTACATATAAATTAAACAAGAAAGAAATCGGCTGTATCGAAGCAATAATAATATCTGAATATCTTCTGAGTTGGAGCATTGGCTTGAATATACGTTTCGGTACAAAAGTAGTGAGATATCAACAATTCCTCAAACAAGCATCTTCCTTGTAAAAAAAGTAGGTATGTAAAATTTCACTGAGGAACTATTTCAAATATATGCAGAGGGAAATGATTAAATCGACTAGGCGCCCCACGTTAATAATTTATACACATATGTATGTGCATGTTGAGGGTGTAAAGAGCAATTTGATAGCATCATTGGTAAAAAAATCAAATAATGTTAGCTATTTAAAATATAAGCAAAAACTAAAATTAAACCACACAGCTTCTTCTTCTTCTTGATTGGCGTAGTCACCGCTTACGCGATTATAGCCGAGTTAACAACAGCGCGCCAGTCGTTTCTTCTTTTCGCTACGTGGCGCCAA